ATGGCAAAAGAATTTGACATACACATAAGTGACACATATAGAATTCCAATTAGCCATGATTAAAAAAAAAATTACCCCAAGGCATACAACAGTCAGGAATATAGAAATTTAACATAACAACAGAATATTAAAAGGTATTACAGAAAAGAAACAAATCACTTATAAAGGAAGTCCATCAGAATCACAGCAGATGTCTCAACACAAACCCTCAAGTCAAGGAGAGCTTAGAGTGAAGTATCAAGCCCTAAATAAAACAATCTCCAGCCTAGACTGATGTATCCCACAAAATTATCTTTAAAAATGGATGGAGAAATCAGACACTTTCATGACAAAGGACACCTGAAGAAATTCATGACCACCAAACCAGTACTCAAAAGTGTCCTGAAGGACATTCTAGAAAGAGAAAATGAAGACTACAACTCCATGAACCCCAACAGAATGAATCCACAAGTCAAAGCAAGTGATTAAACAGAGGGGGGGAAAAGGGAACAAAAACCAGGAAAATAACATGACAAGGATAAGTCAGTACATATCAGTTATAACCAACAATGTAAATGGTATCAATTCACTAATCAAAAGAAACACACTGGCAGAATAGATCAGAAGCAAGATCTAACAATATGCTACATACAAGAAACATTTAACTCAAAAAGAAATTCATAGAGTGAAAGTCAAAGGATGGAAAACAATACTCCATGTGACAAGAACTCAGAAAAAAGCAAAAGCACCTGTTGTATTTGCAGACAAAGTGGATTTCAAGCCAAAACTGATCAAGAGAGACAAAGAAGATCACCACACACTTCTTAAGGGAACAATCCAAGGAGAAGAGATAACAATCAAATATATGCACCAAATGCCAGCATATCCAATTATATAAAATAGTAACAGACATGAAAAATCAAATAAGCACTAATACAATTGTGATGGGGGACCCCAATACCCCACTGTTGCAAATACAAAGGTCAACTAAACAAAAAAATCAACAAAGAAATATTAGAACTGAACCAAATTTTGGAACAAATGGACTTAAATGTGTGCAGAGTGTTCCACACAACAACATCAAAATATACATTCTTCTCAGCTACACAAGGGATGTTCTCCATAATAGAACATACCCTAGCTCATAGAAAATGCTTAAATAAATCCAAAGGAATTGAAATTATCCCATGCATATTATCAGACCATAGTGTAATGAAATTGGAAATCAATGGAAGAAACTACAAAAAGTTCATAAACACATGGAAATTAAATTAACACCTTCCTGAACAACCAATGGGTCACAGATGAAATTAAAGAAGAAATCAATTAAGTGATATTGCCAATAGAACATTATGGAATTTATGGGATGCAATGAAAACAGTCCTACAAGGGAAATTTATAGCAGTAAATTCTCATATCAGGAAAAAAGAGCAAGTGCAAATAAACAACTTAATGTTGAACCTCAAGCCTCCAGCAAAAGAAGGGCAACTCAACCCCAAAGCTCATATGAGGGAGGCAATTATAAAGATCGGAGCAGAAATTAATGCAATTGAGACTAAAAAAACAACATAAAAAATGAATGAATCAAAGAGTTGGTTCTTTGAAAGATTAAAAAAAAATCACAAACCCTTAGCCAATCTTATCAAAAAAAAAGGAAAGGAAAAACTAAAATCCATGCAATCAGAATGAAAAGGGTGAAATCACAACAGATCCTGCAGAAATCCAGATCATCAATACCTACTTTGAGAACCTGTATTCCAATAAAATGAAAAATACAGAAGACAAATGGTCAGATTTCTAGATACATGTGAATTACCAAAGTTGAATCATGATATAAAAATTCTACATAATCCAATATCAGTCAATAAAATTGAAAATGTAATTAGCAACCTACCATCAAAGAAAAGCCCAGGTCCTGATGGAGTCACTGCTGAATTCTACAAGAAATTTAGAGACCTAATGCCACTACTCCTCAAACTCTTTACTAAAATTGAAAGGGAAACAATATTCCCAAACTCATTCCTGGAAGCAAGCATTTCCTTGATACCTAAACCAGAGAAGGATCCAACCAAAAAAGAGAACTCCAGGGCAATCTTCCTAATGAACATAGATGCAAAAATCTTCAAAAAGATACTGGCAAACAGAATGCAGCAAATCATCAAGAAGATTTCACACCATGACCAAGTAAGATTCATCCCAGGAATGCAAGGATAGTTCAATATATGCAAATCAATAAATGTAATACATCATATTAACAGACCCAAAACCATGATCATCTCAATAGACGTTGAAAAAGTATTTGACAAATTCCAACACTCATTGATGATAAAAACTCCTACAGAAAATTGGAACAGATGGTCATTATCTCAATCCGATAAAAGCCATCTATGACAAACAAACATCCAACATCATACTTAAAGATCAAAAACTGAAAGCTTTCACTCTAAAATCAAGAACAAGACAAAGATGTCCACTATAACCACTCTTATTCAATATAATTCTGGAAACATTAGCCAGAACAATTAGACAAAAGAAACAAATAAAAGGAATAGGATAGGAAAGGAAGAAGTTAAATTATCATTATTTGCAGGTGACATAATACTCTACATAGAAAGTCCCAAATTCCACCAAAAGACTCCTAGATTTAATAATCAAATTAAGTAGCATAGCAGCATATAAAATCAACATTCAAAAATCCTGAACACAAATAATAAACTCACTGAGAGAGAAATTAGGAAAGCCATACCTTTCACAATAATATCCAAAAAAATGAAATACCTAGGAATCAATCTAATAAAAGGTAAAAGACTTTTACATTGAAAACTTCAGTACTCTGAAAAAGGATATCAAAGAGGATATCAGAAAATGGAAAGATATCCTTGCTCTTGTGTAGGAAAAACCAATATAAGTGAAAATGGCCATACTCTAAAAATTGTTATACAGATTTAATGCATTCCAAAATACAAATAGCATACCTAACAGAATTAGAGAAAACATTCCTGAAATTCACTTGGAACCAGAAGAGACTTCGGCAATCTGGGCAACAAAGATTCAAACAATCCCTGACTTGAAATTATACTACAAGGCTACAATGATAAAAACAGCATGGTACTGGGGGTTGAGGGAGACAGACCCCAGGATCAGTGAAACAAAATAGAGGATGCAGAAGCAACTCCAAACACACTCAGCCACCTTGTCTTTCACAAAGGGGACAAACACCTTCACTGAAGGAAAGACAGTCTCTTTAATATATGGTGCTGGAAAAACTGGCTTTCCACATGCCAAAGACTAAAACTAGACCCATATCTCTCACCATGCACTAAACTAAAATCAATGGATCAAAGATGTAAATATTAAAACAGAATATCTACTGTAAAATAAAATAGGTAGAATTCTTGAAGACATAAGTGTAAGCAAAGACTTGAACAAAACCTTGATTGCACAAGAAATGTCACAAAGAATCAACAATTGGGATCTCATCTTATTGAAAAGCTTTTGCACAGCAAAAGTAACCAGCAAAAGAGTGAAGAGAGAACCTACAGAGTGGGAAAAAATTTTTGCTAGCTTTTCCTCAGATAAAGGACTAATATCTAGAATATAGAAAGAACTCAAAAAAAAATCAGACCCCCAAATTTAAAGGACCAATTCAAAAATGGGCATCTAAAATGAAGAGATACTTCTCATATGAAGAAGTAGAAATGACAAAGAAATATAAGAAAAAAATGTTCAACATCATTGGTTATTTGAGAGATGCAAATTAAAACAACACTGAGATTCAATCTCACCCCAGAAAGAATAGCTACTATCAAGAAATCAACCAATACCAAATGCTTGCAGGGTTGTGGAGAAAAAGGAACCCTTCTCCACTGTTGTGGGGAGTGTAGACTGGTGCAACCATTGTGAAAATTTGTGTGGAGATTTCTCAAAAAAGTAAAACTAGAGGTTCCATTTGCCTCAGCTATTCCCCATCTTGATATCTTCCTGAAAGATTTGAAAGCATTATACCACAGTGATATATGCACACCCATGTTTAGAGCAGCACAGTGGGTAATAGCTAAATCTTGGAAACAGCCCATATGCTCAACAACTGATGAATAGATGAAGAAAATTTGTTTCTTTATACAGTGGAGTACTACTCAGCCACAAAGAAGGATACACTTGAGACATTTCTAGGTAAATGGATGCACCTTGAGACCATACTCTTAATGAAATAAATCAGACACACATGGGTAAATATCGCATTGTTTCTCTGGTGTGAGAAACTGAAAATGTAAAAATAAGGACCAAAATGTATAATAGATATTGTGAAATAGGAAGAAAATGTTCAAATGTGAAGGAAAGTTAGGGAGGAGGAGGAGGAAAAAAGGAAGGCAAAAGGAAAAAAAAGAGAATAGAAGGAGTAATGGAAACAAAACCTTTGTAAATAAGGAGGACCAGAGGGGTTGAAGGAAGGAGAGAGAAAGAAGAAAAGAAGAATCAAGATACATCATGTAAAGGTACAAATTCCATATGATGAATGTTTTTATGTATATCTAAAATGTACCAATAAAACTAATTAAAGAAAAAAAAAAGAAAAGGGATTGAGGACCCACCTTTTCCATGAGGCTAAGAGATTTCTTATGGCCTTCCAAGGAGGCTGGGAGGCCCTGAGTCCATGCTGACAGCAAAGGAAGCAGGCCCAGAGGCTGGCACAAGGGCTGTCACCTAGTGGACTAAGCAGCCTCCTGCCCACCTGGTCCTGGTGACCCAAAACCATCACATCCTTATTCTTCACAGGGTCATTGCCCCTGCCCAGCCCCTTCCCTGGCTTCTCACCCCCACCCACCCTCAATAGAGGCTTTGTCTGAAGTGCAGCCTTTAACTCCTGATTCAAATCCCTGCCCTGCTGGCCATCAGCACCTGCCCATTCAGTCCAATTCCGTGCCCACGGCCTGGGCTCTAGGCAGCCTCACCTTCTCACAGGCCTCCCACGCATGCAGACCACCCCACAGTAAAAGCCTGGCCAGCTTGCCTGATTGAAGAGGGCTGGATCCCTTATCCTCCATCTCCAGTCAACATTCCAAAGCTACCTGGGCCTGGCACTGAAGATATAAGTATGAAAAGAGGCTCCACCTAGTAAGTTCCTGTGAAACACAAATGAAACAAAATTATCTTTTCTTCTAATCAAATCAACAAACACTTAAAAGTCTCCTAACACTAAGTGTGGATGAGCTTAGTAGGCAGCCCAGACCTGAAACCCTTGGTGGCAGGTAAACAGGCAAGACAAGCCTCGGAAGAGGATGCAGACACAGTTTAAATTGGAGGATGCAACCGCCCTGGGTACCAGCCCACGGTCCCACCAATGGGTGTGTCTGCTAACAGGTTCTTGCCTGAAGAACAAGAGAGTAGGCAAGAACATTCACTGATCCAGCTTGTCATGTGAAGAATCAGAAACACATCCACTCATCAGGAGAGGGAAGGCCATGTAAACTGTGGTTTATTTGTACAATCAAAACATGACTGCTAAAACTTGGATCTGCATGACCCCAAGGGCCCATGTGTGAAAGGCTTGGTCCTCGGCTTGGCACTGCTGGGGAGGTAGTGGCATCTTTAAGAGCTAGCACCTAGTGGAGGTCTTCAGGTCATGGGAAGCATGCCTCGCCCTTTCATTGCCAGCCATGAAGGGATGGGTTGCTCCACCATGATGCATTGCCTCACCACAGGCCCGGAGCAACAGGACCAATTGGTCACCAAACTCTGAACTACATTAAACTTCTCCTCTTCATAAGTCAATGTTTAGTCAGCTTTCTTATTTCTGGAACAAAATACCTGACTCCTGCAACTTTAAAGGAGATGTTTATTTAGCTCACAGTCTCTGTGGGTTCAGTCCATGGTTAGCTAGCTCAAAGGCAGAGACAGCATGGTGGAAGGACTTGGTGGAGGAAAGCTGCTCCACCCATGGCAGCCAGGAAGCAGAGAGAGAAAGAAGGAGCCAAAGACAAAAATATACCCCTCCAGGTCATACTTCCAGTAATCCAGACCCCCTCTGACCATACCCAACCTCTGCAGATGTTACTTTTAGGGGATATTTTAGATCTAAACCGTAAAAGTCAATTATCCCAGTTATTCTGTTACAGTAATGGAAGGCTATCACAATTCCACTGTGGTATAAACTACATTCTACAAATCAACAGAAATAATTCTCAAGAGCATACAGTTGAATAGAAATTTGATCCAACTTCAGGAGCCTGAGAGTGGAAGGAAAGAGAAGGAGAAATTAGTCCTTTAGATATATTTTTTAAATTTTAATTTCTTCTAATAGAAGGAGAAAAGTAAAACAAATGGGCAAGCTGTTATTAGCTATTAAATCTGGGTGGTGAATATTCACTTGCTATTTTCTGTGGTTTTCCAATTTTTGAAACATTTCATAATTAAAAAATTAAAGATTATTGTAAAATACAATCCTCAAGAGCTTTTGGGTTCCTGGAAACACAGAATAATATGATTTTTAAAAACAACTGCACAGGGAGCCTGAGCATAGACAGGAAAATACCTGGGAGGCCTACTGAACAGCTGACAGTTTGTATCCTGAGGAACGCAGAGGGGTTTTCTAGCTGGAAGGGGAAAGCTAGGCACCTCAGGAAAACACGCGTGGAAAGCTCAGGGCAGGAAAAGCACAATGCTTAGAGACCTGGAAGGCTCTGAGGACAGAACTCTACATTCTCACTAGCCTAGGGATTGTTTCATGGATGAACACATGGCACAGAGTCACAGACACAATGACATTTCCAGGGCTCCCTAGAAGGGGATTCTTTCCTTTCCCTAGGGCCTGGTGGGGTAGACTGTACTGCCAGGGTTAGGAGCAGGCCATAGGAGGGTGCCTCAGAGTAGATCCAACACAGAATAAAAATGGAACACAAAGAAGGAAAAGATGAAAGGGTTGCAAACTTATGGCTTCCTTTAGGTCCAAGGCAAGCCACACTCGAAGCCAGTTTGAATCTGGTTTTGGGTCATCTACTTGAGCTAATTAATGCTTGGCATGGCTTCATCCCTTGCTCAACTTAAAGTCAGTTTTCCTGATTTCAACTTCAGGTTCCTTCTCTGGGCCCCTCAAATGATGGTCTGTCTCTTTCCTGGCCTTTTTGGAGACCAGGCTGGTGACCTGAGGGGCACCTCTATCTCAGGGACCTTCCTCGGTTCATCCCAGGACCTCTGCCCCCAGGCCTAGAGAGCCCTGCACCTGGTGAGAGACCTTGCTTGATTGGCCACAGTGGGGCCTCTGAGGGCACAAGCACCCCCCTATTCTGCAAAATGTACAAGTCAGACATTGCTTGGTTGTAGTTAACATCACCCTTTGCAATCTGCAAGGGCCATCTCTGTATTCTCTTCTCATCGCCTCTAACATAGAAATAGTCCATAATAACACCAGCCACATCAGGCATGGCTCTCCATTTATCCCATTATAGATGAAACTATCTTGTTACTTGAGTAAACTGGAAGCAGAAGTGTCTACAATCTCTCTCGCTACCTCATCATGCCGAGAGGAGCTGGAGAGCTGCTTCTGCTTCCTGACTCAGAAGCAACACTCAGAGGAGACAGGGCTCAGACCTCAACTGCAGGGAATCTTGGGACTTGGCAAGGAAGAGGCACATTTTCTATCAACACCCTGCTTTGCACAAAGCAATGCAACAGAAAGAAGTGGGGTGGTGGGATTCAGGGGAGAGTAGAGACAAGGGAATGGTCTAGACCTAGCCAGAAGGCCCCAGTCAAGCACTGTGTGCAGGTTGGCACTGGGGGAGAAAGATGGTGAAGCCCAGGTGTGACTCCCTTGAGGCCTGGAGGTAGCCAACCCAGAAGGCAGAAACTTAGGGATCTGGGAGCTGAATCCACATGGGATGCAACCTGCCCCACCATGCCTGGACCATTGCTCCCATGACAGCCTCTCCTGGCCTGTGGCTTTTGAGTACCCCACCCACAGGGATGTATGCTGTCAGACAGGAAGCCCTTACGTGGAGTGTAAGCTCGAGGTAGCTCAGGACCTTCAGCACGTGATGTTGCCTGTAAATGAGCACAGGGTGAGCAAGATGTGCGAAAGCTGGCAATGGTGTCCTCCGTGCTTCAGATGGAGAGGACACCACTGCACAGCCCCAGAGAGGCAGCATCCATTCACAGGGCATCAGTCATTCCCTAACTGCAAAGTCACAGGACCAGAGAGGATGGGCACTGTTGCATCCAGCTGAGCACAGCTGTAAGGAATTCCATCCCCCTGCTGTGGTATGCTGAGGTGTGACAATGTCCTCTTTTCCACGTGCACACCACACACACACCATTCCACACACATCCACATCTTCTACACAAACACCATACACACTGCATGCATACACCACACAGCCCACACACTCCACTCACGAATACAACATATACCACACACCATACACATATTGCCAAAACACCACTCACCCTGCCCCAACACTTATACATGTACCCTACACCCACATCACACTCCATATACACATTCACATATATAACATATGCTATACAACATATACTACCTACAATACAGCATACACACTACACAAAAACACCACACACCCATACATACATACACATATACATACATACCACAAACACGACACACAGGCCACATGTAGACACATCATAACCACATAGCACATACATATGTACATCATATGCTACACCACACATAAACACACACAACATACAAATGCCGTAAATACTACATACATACACTTCACACACACCACATGCACATGGACACACATATGGTACACAAACACCAACACACCTAGTGCACACCACACCAAAACCAGGAAGGCAGATAGCAGTGTGTCTTGCACAATCTTTCACAACACTGGCTCTGTGATGTCCTCTCTATCATGGGATGGAGCGCTAAGTCATTCACGCCTGGCCCAGACAGTCCTGCCCATAATGGACACCACTGTAATACCCAGCGTCGCTGACCTCAGGGCCTTCCCGGGAGCTTACAGTGAGAACCTCAGGATCTGAGCACAAGAGAACGGTTTCAGACCAAGGACAGCACAGAAAGTCTGCCCTTTAATTGTGGCTGTCTGTTGGGGGACTGGACGCTGGAAACTTCATGGACACAGATGTGAGTCACAGTGCAGGAGACCAAAGACTCTGGCAGCCAGCCCCGGGACGCTGCAACACCTCTCGGCCTGTGGGGACTCCATTTGAGGAACTGAAGTGCATGTGTGAACAAGGGGCTCGATGAGAAGGAGCTTGCCCCCCTCCCCCATGGGCCCTCAGCCTGGGGCAAAGCTGTGTCTGCCCTGGGAGGTGTGGGCAGGCCGGTCGGGGTGCCAAAGGGGCAGGGGCAGGAGCTGGGCATGGGTCTGGCTGTTGCTCCCCCTACCCCAGCCTCCTGTGGATTCAGCCTCTCCTCATCTGGGAATCTGGCCTCTGTGGAGCCCAGAGCAGGCGGAGCCTGAGGCAGCCTCCTCCCGAGCAGCCGGCCAGAAGGACCCCAGCCCTGTCACCCTGTGTAAGCCTGCTGGGCTCCCCCAAGGATGGAAGTGGGGCACCCTTAGGATCTGGCTACCCCTCCCACTTTTCATCCATTCCCTCTGGGTGTGAGCACTCTCCTCTTGCTGCCTGGGCTGGGACCGCACTGTGGCCAAGCGATGGACAGGGCACCCATGGTGGCTCCCTGAGCCACTTGGCCCACCATCCACACTGGCACAGTCCATTCCTGACTCGCTCCTTCCAAGGGGTCCCAGGGGGCTGTGTGCGTCACTGGGCATGGAGTCACAAAGGGCAGGTTTGAATAAAACTCACCAATCCACTTGGCTGGAAATTCAGCAGCAGCTCTCCTGGTCCTGTTGAGAGGAGAAACCCTAAGACTTTTAAATTCATCTTAGTGCAATTGAGCAATGAGAAATAAGACAAAATAAAAACCCATCCGCCCACAGGGGAGCCCCCAGAACCAAAAAAGGTTTAGAAAGCGCCAGCCGACAGTTAAGATCTGACGTATTTCTAGGAAACGGAAGTGAGGCAGAGATAACTTAATCAGTTGCAGCTTAGTTGGTTAATTGGTGACAGAGCTTCTTGTGATTAACTAAAGCTTGGATGCCGAGATGAGACTCCGTGTTGGTGCAGTCCGCTGGGCCCAGTGCCGGAGCTCAGTCCAAGGCAGCCAGCGCCTGTGAAACCTCACGGGGGACGGGGCACCCATGTGGTCCTTGTCCTTGGCTGGGGTTGGTTCAGGAGAGGGCACTGCCAGCTCCTAGGGTTTTCTGGTTGAATGATCCAGCAGTAAAAGACAAGGCCTACTGGGGACTCTGTGCCAACTCAGCACATGGCCAGGGAAGGAGCCACGGGGCTGGGACAGGGAACAGGCTGAGTGGCAGTGATGATGACACCAGAAAGAACAGCAGTGACAGGGCCGCCACCCAGCCCTGCTAAACTAGTGACCCTCGGCCAAGGCCAGGGAGGATGAAAAGCAACCCGGAACTATCTTGCCATCCCCACCCTGGCACCCCTTTCTGCCCCTGGGAGGGAAGAGGGTCCAGAGCTCCTGTCAAGGATGTTCTTTAATGTTGCACACCCAACCCATGGTGGTAAAAAGCACAGCGGAATCAGGCTACGTTAACACCACACTCAGGCCAGGGTGGGTGGAGCATCATTGCGAGGGGACACATGGCCAGACCCCAGCATGAGCAAGTGACAATAAAAGGGTGGAGACAGAAGCCACACCACCACCAAACAGGAAGTCGGGGTGGGCAATGGAATGGCTCTGTCAGTGCTGGCTCATGTGCCCCACGTGACAGGTGAGGGCAGGTGAGAGACCTCAGCTGAGCCTGCACTCGGACTGAGACCCCTGCTGGGTGTGAGTCACAGATGTCCATATCCATCTATCCCAGCCATGGGTGTCCAGCCTCCCACCCCCCAAATGCACAGCCTCCTGGAGTGGAGCAGTGTTTTCAGACAGAAGGCCCGCAAGCCCCCAGGTGGGTAACATGGGCAGCAGGGTGGAGGAAGTTCATCAGACAGAGGCTCACAAAGTGCTTCTACAGAGGTGCTGCACAAGCCAACCCGGGATCAAGGCCTCAGAGGAAAGCAGGGAGGAAGTGACCTGCAGGAAATGCAGAGCAGAGTGAGCACACACTCAGGAGGGCAGGAGGAGACCACTGCATCCTGAAACACTGTATCATCACTAGCACAGAGGTCCAGACAGGTCAAGCCGCTTCCTCAGGGGCACACTCGGGTCTGAGCTGAGATCCGCCAGGCTGCACAGCTGAGAATCATCCCAGCCCCAGTCTGAGTGGGATCTGAGCCTGGCCTAGGACAAAGCCCTTGCAGGAAAGCCAGACCCCATGGGTCACCCTTAGGGACCACCTGCAGACCACAGACGTGAGGCCAGCAGAGGACCCAGGAGGATGTGGTCTCTCAAGGGTCTTCTGAGGGCACCAGGCAGCAGAGCAGTCAACCTTCCCAGTTTTTCCGGACTGAGGGGCTCCCTGGAGGGGAATTTTCAGTGCCAACACCAGGAAAGTCTGGGCCAAATTTGGACAAAACAGCTGCCCTCCAGGCAGACCACAGAAGGCCACGCTGAGGACCTGGGCTCCTGACAGACACTTGTGCATGTCCAGTCATCGAAGGAGACATAGAGAGCCAGGCTGGCTGGGAGCCCTGACTTCCAGGGTGCCCTGGGCCCCTTCAGGCCCATCCCCAAGACACCCCATGGGTTCTGCAACAGGAATCACAAGTGGGACCCTAGGGCCACACACGGGCTGGCAAAACATTGCACTTTCAATAAAACACATCTGAAGTCCAGATCCCCACGTCCCCACCTGCCCTGCAGCGTTTTACATCCTGGGCATCATCTACGAAACACATCACCTTATAACATGCTCCCCCAACTTGTAACCTTGCCCCAGCCTCCACCTCTCTGCATAGTGTCTCCCCTCCGCTTCGTGAAAGGTGACCTTGTTTCTACAGGAACCTCTGCCTCTGGGGCCTCAAGACCACAGCCTGGCATTGTTCTATAGACACCAGCTCTGAGCACTTGGATGGCTCCATCACCTGCAGTGACGCCCCAGCTGGCACAAGTCAGGGGGTGGGGCCACCTGGCTGCCGGCCCTCTGGAATACAGGGAAATGTCATCCAAGAGGGACTCACACACACATACACACACACACACACACACACACACACACTCACAGACAGATCACAGGCACACAATATGCTTACACTGCTTTCCTTCTCTCCTGTGATTGGGCAGATCACATTACTACTGCAGTCTATTTAATGAATCCATCTGACTTACTTTCTGCAGCAGAATGCAAGCTTCATGAAGGTGGCTGTCTGCTGCCCTCCACTCCCGTCCCTAACCCTAGAACTAGGCCCAAGCAGACACTGTAAATGTTTGCAGAACACATGAACTCCAGACCTTCACTTACAAAACAGAAAAACTCCCTCTGGGGCTGTGAGGTCCCTGCCATTTGAGCCTCCAACCTCAGAGTCAGCAGCCCTCTCAGGGGCCTGTGGTCGCTGAACAAGGAGGGGATGGAAGAGGAAAACGACATCCCCAACCCCTGTGACCCTGCACCGCCCGGGGCACTTGCAAGTCGGTGCCCCCAGCGCTGCCACCAGCTTAGGTGATTTGCAGACCAAGATGCTGAGCTTGGCCAAGAAACCAAAAGGGTGAGGCTTCTAGGAAAGCCCAGGGTCGACCCTCCAGATCTGTGTCCGAGCGCAGCGCAGGGATAGGGGAGAGGGCATCCCAGGACGGCCTGCTCTGGGGGGTCCTGGGTCCCAGTGCCCGCTGTCTCCGGAGCCTTTCCAGTCTCCCCACAAGCAAGCAAGAACCCGTGCTGGCACCTACGTTTCTGGGTTGAACAGGGTCAGAGGCTCCGGCAGGCTTCTGGGTAGAGGCGCTCAGAGCTGTGGCGATACTGTAGGGCCAGAGCAGGCCGCTCTAGCGCGAGGCCAGGACCCAGATTCCAGGCCAAGGCGCTTGGAGCGTGAGGCGCGCGCCCCCGTGTGGCCGTGCTCGGGAACGCAAAGGGCTCTCAGTGGCTGGGGCTGGCTGCACTGGACCCTGGGAAGTAGGTGCTACCTGGGACAGGAAGAGGAGAATAGAGCCCCTGTTTTACTCTAGGACCTTTCCAAAGGAACTTTCCTCCGCTTAGTCACCATGAAGAGCATACTGCCCTGGAGCCTGCTGACCTTCATCTGATGTAATAGGATTTGGTATAGATACATTCGGTAGAGCTACAGCAGAGGAGCTAGAACTTCTGGGAAACTGACTCCTGATATTGTAACACACAGTATTGGGCGGAAAGATGAAATTCCAGCAAGGAATGATGAGCTCACCCAATGTGACTGAGGACTTTGGAAGCCAGGTGTGGAGGCACAAGCCTGTAATTCCAGCACTAGGGAGGCAGTGGCAGGAGGATCGCCATGAGTTCCAGACAAGCCTGGCTACATAGTTACACCTTGTCTCAAAAAAAGAAAGTAAGCACTCGGGATTTTAATAATTTATAAGGGCCTTATGGTCTAATCTCCCTGTCTCCAGTCTTGTCCAAGTCCAAAAGGAAATTTGCAGAGATTGGCTTCATCAGAAAGCAGAGCCCGACTCGAGGATTCAGTTCGAGCCGGGGCACAGGCCCCAGCTGCTTTGTATGAGCGGCACACTGGGAGAAGGCAGAAGCCTTGCTGAAAGAGAAGGCCACTTCCGGTGCGTGCGGGGCTCGTTCTGGATTCCAGGAGGACACACTCGTTTTCCCCTTCCTCTCCGGCCCACTGGTGGATCCCCACCCCGTTTACTCTTTCACCTTGAGATTACGAAAAGAGAACCAAGTACCTCACTGGCTGTTTGGGACACTTCCAAGGAGCTCCCCAAGGGCTTCTGAGTCCCCTCCCAGGGCAACCGCCTGGCCCGGGCCACCTCTCTCTGGAGTCAGGAAGAGCAGGTGGAGACCAGAACTTTCTGAAGAAACACCGCGCTGGCCCCACACACAACTTAACACTCTTTACACGTCATAGTTTAAAATGTAAAAGGAGATCAGTGAAGTGAATGTTAATGTTTTATTTCTATGTCCCCCCCCCATTAAGTTTATTGGTACATTTTAGGTATAAAATACAGTTACATTCATCATTGGGATCTTGTACCATTACATGAGTATCTTTGTTCTTA